ACAGGAACACGATTTACTAGTCGACGTGGTTTGTAGAATGATGATATTTTTAGTGTTGAATAAAATATCTTTTTTTTTTCTTTTACATAGGAAAAGATGAACATCTTATCGTAAGTATTTATTTTATGCTATTGAAACCTAAAATTTGAGTTTTTATTTTTGTTTATCTAGGTAGCTGGAGGTTTTGGTGCTCATCAACGCCCTGTAGACATTGTCGAGCGATGGAATCCACGTACAAATGAATGGACTGCTTTACAGGTTGAAAAGAATTATAATAAAAATGAATAGGAATGTTTTGTAATTGATTTTTATTTAGCCATTAACAAAACGACGTCGATATGCAGCAGCAGCAGCAATTGGTAAACGTCTTTATGTCGTAGGTGGCTATGATGGACGACAGCGTATGAATTCTGTTGAATGTCTTGATTTATCGCAAGAAAATACTACTTGGCAACCAGTTGCTTCACTAACCTATCGACGAGGTAAAAAGGTTAATATCAAATTTCAACATACCACTTTTATTTTTTATTTTCAGCATTACCTGGCGTTTGTGTCCATCAAAGTAAATTTTATTTTTCGAAATAGATAATCTCTATTCGAATAATGCTTTCTTATAATTTCTCCACAGATTTAATATATGTATGCGGTGGCTTTGATGGATCATCGCGTTTAGCATCAACAGAATGTTACGATGAAAAAACTGATGTGTGGACGATTGGTGAAGATATGCATGTCGGTAGGGAAGGAGCAGGTCTGGTATCTATTGGTGATCATCTCTATTGTATTGGTAAGTGTATATCTATGCAATAAATTCATGAATATTGGATAGTCTTTCATTGAAATAAATTGTTTTTTTTCATCGTTGATATGAATTATGGCAATGAGAAAGACTCAGAAGAATAGGAAACTAGAATTACCAAGAGAAATACAGTTTGTTTAACCTATAGAATTTATGACTTGTACGCTTTATGTTAGTAGTCTAACAAAAAGCAGAATATATCAATAATAACAAAATATAGAAATCTTTTCAAATAATAATTATTTTCTAAAATTATTTATTCTTTTCAGGTGGATATGATGGTAT